CTTTTTTTCCCTTGCAGTTTCTTTGCTTTTTTTTGTGCTCGGCGAAGCCAATCGGCAGTCTATCCTCGGATTGATTCAGCCACGCTTGGAGCTAAACCGGAACATGGTCGCGCTGGTGGTCCTTTCTCTTTCCATTTCTGGAAAGCTGCTGTAGCCGATGGTTGTCCGAGCCATGCCGTTTTGGGAAATGTGCATATGCCAGCCGTCGCTGTGCAATTGAACTTGGGGCCGGCGGACGGGACGGCGGGAGAAAAAAAAAGAGCCGAGTCCGAGAGGGAAAGAAAAAAAAAAGAAAGAGAAAAAAAAGGGCCGGTCCTATCAATAGCGACAAGGGTTATGGGCATCCTTCCATTTCCAACACCGCTGGCCGGGTTTGGGTTGCTTGCTTTGATGACCAGTCAGTCACCACGAACACCCCCAGACCCCAAGCTGCAGGGTCTAGACTTGGCCTTTTGGCAGCCCTTTGCTGGGTTTGGGTGGTGTGCGCGTGCGTGCGTGCGTGCGTGCGTGCGCGCCGCGCGCAGGCGTTCCCCTGCCAGGGAAGGGGGAGCTAGGACCAACCGTCCACTCTCGTCTCGCCGAACCGAGCCGTAATGCTGAATGTCACTTGGTCCGAGTCGCATCGCGCCATGTCACAGCGGGAGCGGAGAAATGACACTCGAGCACATGGCCAAATTGCTCCAAGCTTTGGCTGTTAGGGGTCCGCGACACGGTCCGACTCTTTTTTGAATCAGAGAGAGAGAAAAAAAGAGAGGCACCCACTCACGGGCCACCACCGATGTGGACCGCACATCACTGTGCGTTTCCCTGCTCTCTTGTTTTTGCTACCGTGAAGGATATCTATCTTCGGCTTCCCTTTACCTCAAACACATGGCACAATGACCGCTTTACAAGCTGCATAATATAACGAATCCTATCTTTACCTGGAAGGTTTTATTCCTCCTTTTGTTTTACTTCACTTTGTCCCCCGGGCAAATTCGTTTGATGGTCGCCCGGAGTTGTCCGTCGCAGCAGTCCTTGTCCTTTGTGTTTAAGCAGGGAATTTGCAAGTTCAGCAGCAGCAAAAAAAAAAAGAGCGAGGGGTATCCCGCCATGCCGACGACTCGCATGATGCTAAAGAGCCTCAGAAAGGCCGGTTGCCCCACATAAGATGCGACAGCGCTTGTAGCCTGCATGGGGGAAGACGCCTACCTATAACTAGTCCTTTTTTTTTCTCCTGCTACTTCCATTTTTTAAGCCCGAGGCCTGTGCGTTATTATTAATGGTGGAAAGTAGTAGGCGATTGAGTGCCTGTGCGTTGTCTGTGTGAGCCCGACGCACCGTACAGGCACGGTCATATATGTCACCATTCGGTACCGGTACCATTCCCAGAAGAGATGACGCCAACAAGTAGAATGACATTATATCTGCCGAAGCCGGTATGCACACAAGGCAGGCTAATATCCCCAGCCACTTTGCGCTCCCGTTCGGGCCGCGGTCGGGCCACCTGACGGCTGCATAGTGAGGGCCCTCCTCAAGACGAAAATATTGAAATCTACATCGTTTGCCGGCGAACCCCATCAATATTTTGAGTCACCCCCGTCCTTAGTTCCAGTCCAGCCCCGCGGACCACCGATGTGCCCGCTCGCCTCCTGATATCGTCTAGGTTCAAGCCCTTTTTATTTTTTATTGCCTTCTTATTGACAGGTGGAGTCGCGTGCGGCTTTTTCCCCATCACGTGTCGTTGATCATTCATGGTCACCGACCTAGTGGTCCCTCGCGTGCTCGCTCAAGCCCGTACGGAGCAGAGCACCAAATTAAAATAGAAGCAATCCGTAAATAAAAAAGAATAGAGACGAGAAAAAAAGAAAAAAAAAGGGCCGGCCAGCGGTGAGTTACCAAAACCGGCATTCTCCTGGCTCAGGGGCTCGGCTTGATCGGCCTCGTCCTGCCGGTACCTGGATAAGCGGATGGGCACCGCCTACTGGGGAGTTCCCAAGGGACGACGGCGATCGGCGGTGTGTCGTGTGGAGGGAGGTCCATAACTTTTTCTTGTCTCGATGTTTTCCGCTCCGTGCAATCCCCAGCTGGAGATGTCAGGACGAAGGACCGTCGGACGGGTTTCGACTATTATCGGTATTATGCATAAAGCAGTAAGTGGGCCGTCGTCTAACCTTTCATCTTTTTGTTTTCTTTTTCTTCTCATCCTTTCTTTTCTTGTTTTTTTTCTTTTTCCGTTGTTGGCCTTGCCCCTGTAGCAGATTTGCAAGATAACGGGCGATCAAGCGATCAAGGGAAGGGTGCATTGTGAAGGTGGTCTGTCTGTCAGCACAAAAGGTTGGATTCTAGACAGGCAAGCCAAGGCGGCCAACCCAGCAGCACGACGTTGACCATGTGCATTGACAGAAGTCAATGCTCGCCGGGAGCTAAAATACTGTTCCAATTCGTTGGGAATTGCACAGGTGGCTAGTGCATGTCCAGGGTCTGCCTTTCCGACAGCTCGGCCCAAGGACGGCAACAATCGCCTTGAGTCTCTCTGCCCCAACTTTTATTTTATTTTGGCGGGGATCCGACAGCGCCGGCTCGGAGGTGACTTGGCCCTGAACCGTTTGATGCCTGACATGCCTGGGGACCCCTGCAGATTCGCGTCTGACGGGCGCCCACGGCACCCGATGGAGATGACTTTGGGAAGGGTTGGGGTGGTGGGGGGAGGGAACGCCCCGGATACTGGCACGCACACACACACACACACACACATGCACTCACTCACCCCATAACCATCCTACCATCTGCGGGGGAAATAAAGAGTAAAAACCCACCTAGTAACAGGGGGGTAACAGGGGTTAAAACTGAAAATCGCAGGGGTCGTAGTGACTTGGGGGGATGTCACGAGACTTCAAGAATTTCTCGTCCTTTGAAAGCTTTTCTCGATTTCTCTCCTTCTTTGATGACCAACTTCAACAATGGCAGCGACTTCATGCCAGCACGTGACCCCCCTTTTACCACCCCTGTGATCTCCAGTTTTAACCCCCCTGTTGGGAGGTGGGTTTTTACTGTTTATTTCCCTCGCAGATGGACCATGTCCATGCCTCCGCCCGCCTCCCACCACCACCAGCAAACAAACACCTCCAAAGATGCAAAGGCTGGGATCCCGCACCTCTTCCCGCTAAAGGAGAAATGTGAGGTTATGGATGGCACAGGCCGCCTGCTCACGAGTCGCCAAAACTCTGTTGGCAGCGTCGGGAGTGAGGAGAGAGTCAGCTCGGTTGCTACAGCTGGCAGCCCGCATCATGGCCCTGGGCTCACTGTTATACGATGTGCCAGATTTTAATCTTCCTTTGATCCCTTCGGACCATACACCCCCTCTCTCTTGCAGCATGGAACAAAAAAAAACCATCCAGTGGCCGGGTCCTTGTTTTTTCTGGACTCTTTCTCTTTCGGCTTCGTTGCTCGTCTGATCTCCACCAACGGCTCTCACCTCACCCTGGGGCGCTCCTGAGCACGTCCCAAAAAAAAGGTCCATCCCGACGGCTTGCTCCACCGCGGGAAAAGCGCACAACGTCGCAGGTTGAGCCTGAGGCACGCCAAGGATGGCGACAAGGACATAATATTATACACGGTGGTGGCATAGGATCGGAGGTCTTTTTATTTATTTATTTTATTCTCCGATACTCCCTCCTCCTAGCCCAACTCGCAATTTTATTTTTAATGTGCAGGACATGCATCGGCAGGCAAGGGAGGCACCGCCGCGTGGGGACGGTCGTCGACGACAAGGGACGCCCCGGGAATCAGATTGTGAAGATGGCCAGGGAAAAATTAACAGAACCCATGGATAACCCCGGCGTTTCTGGCCCAATCACGTCCAGCCTGGCCTCATCACAAGCTGCAAGACGAGCCCATTTCCCCATTGGAAATTCCAGCGAGTATTCATGGTCAAGTTTGAGCTGTCGGGTGTTATATATAACAAAACAAAAAACCATGGAGGGATGGTGATGGAGTTTTATCCATATGTGCCGGCTGATATAATAACCGCGACGGGTAACATGCGCAGCCCGGATCCAGCAGCCGCCCTGTCCCCGGAGATTTTTTTCTGTTCCCCCTCGTTTATTTGCCTTCCCGCCCTTGGGAAACCTCACTGTGACGGCGCGAGGAAGAAAGTGAGTGGCTGTCATCAACGATGCCGTGAGGCGCATTGGATGGTTGGCTGCAGAGCAATATACTTCCTATGGTTGGTTGCAAGGGAGAGATATAGGTATGGAGAGTACCCCTCTGGGTTGAACTTGATATCTCGCGTGCTCGCCTCATCAATGCACGTAAAACAGGAATGAGTGCACGAGTATGCTTTCTTTTCTTTTTTTTCTTTTTTCTTTTTTTTTTTTGCTCCCTTACCCTCTGGGCCTCTTTTTGTGGCCCACGTTCCAGGGCCGGAGACGCACATGTCGCCCGGCCTGCGCCTGCCTGTGACTAGCGATGTGAACCGAGATCCGAGTTGGAAGGGGGAGAAAAAAAAAAAGAGGAGACTTTGTGTCCCGTGCAAACTCGACTGGAGTGTCGGGTACCTGCCTCGCTCTCTCTTTCTCTCCCTTCCGAACTCTTTGGCCATCCCTGGTCTCAGCAGGCCTCGATGCGACCAGCCTGGCAGCATTACAAACCCTGTCCTTGCAGCTGGGCCGTTTTATCTGCGTTGAATTAAACGCCAGGGATCTGGCCAAACCAAAACCCTTGCATTTTTTGATATATATATATATTTTTTTTTCTATTCTCAACTCATTCATCATTTGCCATTCTGATGCTGCGAGGGCCGGAGTGGTAAAAGTCTTGGGGCAGAACCAGCGACAACACTTGGATGTAGGTGGTCTCGATCTGCCGAGCACAGGGATGAAAACTTGCCGGAAAACAGCCCGCTGGGGCCGTCGCAAGCGAGCCGGGAACGACTTGGAAGCGACAGACCAAAAAAAAAAAAAGAAGAGCAAGAGGGGTGCCCACAACCCAGGCAACCGAACCCTCCCAGGTCGGGCCTAGCGCTTGTTCGGTTGTTGACCATGGCGTCTGATCCGTATTCCGAAACGCACCTTAACGTAGCGTATTCCTCCCCGCTCTCGCCTGAGAAAAAGAGGAGCCGTGATGACGACGGGGAGGGAAAGAGAGAAAGCTGCTGAAAATAAACACAACAGGTAGTGATCCGGGGCTGACTAAGGTAGACAAAGAGGCATGCCCGTCCAACCGTTGATTCTGTAGTGTAGATGCCACCGTGTGTGTGATGCTTTGCTCGTGTGGAGAGATTGCACAAACACGCAATCTATCCAAGAGATATCAATGAACTCACCTTAAAAGCAGACCAGTCCTTGTCGGAGAGTTTATACTCTCCTCGTATGCACAATCTGCTCCAGCGCGCCCTTACCCTAGCCAGCAGCGGGCCAACCAACAAGCCAACGTGAAGCGGAACGCATCGCCGGCCCTTTATCATCCGAGGTTCAGGGCAAATTAGCGATCTCCTCATGGGGAGCAGGTGGGGTGTGGGTTGGCCCAAAGAGCTACCGAGAGGGAAGGCGGGATCAACAATGACAGACACGCAACCGAGATAATCCCCCGCCTACCCTTGGTAGAGTTGTCGATTCTCCCTCGTCCGGAAAGGAGGGAGAGAGAACATGTCACCACCCCCCTCATACTTTGGGACGAAACTCGGCAGTTTTGGGACAGGACGGGTGGACGTGCCACTTGGGGAAAACTCGGATCTGGACCATGAAGCGTCGCCGCCCACAAGGTTGCGTAAGACGCATTGAAGAGGAAGAAAAAAAAAGAATGTGGGCGGGGAGTAAACACGGCACCGGTTGCATCAAAACAATAGGTACCCACCTGCTCAGATGCGTCGGCGCGCGTGCGCACAACCAGAGGGAGCATGCGTCTGGTACAAGGAACTGCCATGCATATGCCGCCGTGGAGCATGTTACGTTGGGGTCTGGGCTGTTTTTTTTTCTTGTTGCAGTCTCTCTCCCTCCTCTCTCTCTCTCTCTCTCTCTCTTCAGTCTCTCCTCTCGACATGCAACCCACGACCCGAATCAATCAGGCGATCGACGGGCTCCAAGGCGTCAGCATGTAAAGCAGATCCGGAGAGCATAAAGTGCCTTCATTTCGTTTGGGCCCGTCGGTTGGGTCCGCTGTCTTTTTTGAGGGGGCGTGTGTTTGTGTGTGTGTGTGCGTGTGCCTTGCCGTTGCGCACGCGCGCGACTATGAAGGGTATCCTATGGAGGGTATCCTTGAGGGTATCCATATTGTTTTCAGAGTTCATGTGGAATCACACCTACCCACGCATTCACGTAAAAAAAAAATACGGGCGAATACGAACGGTGGGATGGGACGCATCAATGATCTTTCTCTTTCTCTTGCAGTTGTTTTACCTTATTTTTGTCTTTTTGTCCGTGCCCCCTTTTTCCTTTTCCATTCCCATGGGCCAATCCTTGGGGAGTGTGGGTGTGTTTCTAGCTTGCCGCTCCTGACTGGTGGGCGTCGCGAATCACGTCTCTTTGGTCATTCTGCGTAAAATGTCAGTACCGGGTTCGGGCTCAGGAACAGCCTGCCGCGTCCGAGTTCGTCGGTGGCCTGTCCCTGGCCCTACCAGCAGCAGGGCAGAGGACAGGGCAGGGGAGGGGGGTGTGTGAAGGGGCCGGGAAAATATCCCGCGCCAATTCTAGGCCGTTGAGAAAAAAAAAAAGAAAAAAAAAAAAGAAAAAAAAAAAAGAAAAAAAAAAAGAAAAAAAAAAAAGAGTGCAACGAGACGCCCCCGTCCCCGCATTGCAAGGTGCGCCTAGCTTTTTGCGCCTCGGCTATTTCTCTCTGGGCTGGCTCCTGGGAAGTCCCCAGGACACGCCTCCATGCTAGTGCTCTTTGTGTATCCCGAGACTACAGGTGCCTGCTCCGGAGAAGAGTCGCCGGCCGGATTAGAGACGCCAGCACAAGTAGAGACGGTGAAGGAAGCGAGATGCGTCAGTGAATACTGTGGCTGACTGACTGATGGACAGGACGTGGGCAAACACAGAGAAAGAGAGAGGGAGAGAGAGAGAGAGAGAGAGGACGTGCAGTGGTCGTGTCTCGCGTGGTCGTCCCCGTTTCCACACGGCCGGGCGGGGGTGCTAGTTCGTCCCCTTCCGTCGGGTCCCGGTTTCCTTTCCTT